GTTATCATTGATATTTGTGTTTTGTTTTTTTTCATTTTGAACCATCCCAAAGGGATGTGAGGGTCAGAGGATGGGTCATCTAGACTGAACAGTGCTGGATGAGGGCTGAGAGTGCCCCAACTCTGTCCTAAGTCACAGCCAGCCTTCGATTCAACCCCATGGGGTATGTGGGAGAGGGCTAAACAACCCTAAACCCTCCACCTCTGGGAATGCTGGTGTCTATGACAGATTAAAGGCTGGTAGGTGCCCGGAGGTGTGTGCACAGAGCCGCAGGACATTTGAAGCCAGGTGCCAGGGTTTTATACCTGGACACAACTCCTGGGCCAGCTGGAGCCATCCCTGGGCCGGCATTGCCCGTGCCCACGGGAGTGGGTTTGTTGCTGTACCCTGTGCTGTGGCTTCGGATCTCTATCATGGTGAGGGCAAGGCAGCTCAGCCCCAGCCCCACGTGAGTCACGGTGGAGCTGGGTATGGTTGGCACCCTGGAAACGCTGAGTAAACACCAAAACACAGGCCATGGTGTCTCGAAACCATTACTGGGTGACTGTCTCCTCCCTGTCCTGTCTGTCCCAGGACTGGGACCCCACCTCAGCCTTATGCAGGCAGCCCTGCAAGCACTCTAGTGCGAGTGTCTTGCGTGTGTGAGTGCACGTGTGTGATTGTTTTCCCTGTGTGTGTAAACAGGTTCAGGCCCCTGTACCACGTAGTTACACATCCCTTGCACACAGCGGTGCTGCAGCAGGCTTTGAGGCACACACACAGCTCATCCCAGTGCTGCCAGCCTCCCCAAGTGGGGCACAGCTGCTCCAGGAAGGGCTGTTCCACAGGGCAGCTGGATCCAGCTGTGCTCACACTGATGGAGTCACTACAGTGGGTGTTAGGGGTGCTGGGAGATGGTCCATCTGCCCTTCTGCCCCTCTTGACCGGGGAAGTTTTGAGCAGCAGTGATGAGCTCTGTGCCCCATTAGTCCTTGCTGCACCTTGCAACCCAGCTGCATTCAAGGGGTGCAGGGATGGTGTTTGGAGTAGTTTGCCGCCTCTCCCCGTACTCCATCCCCTCTCCACAGCCTTGGGGTGCCCCATAGTCCCTGTGTGCCTCTGTGCAGGGGGACGGGCAGTGGCTTCCAGGCAAACCCCACTCGTTGCAACCACCTCCCCCAAACCACTTGCTCCAGCTCAGCCTTCCTCCCACGGGTGGGCAGAGCCTTCCCCGTCCCTGCAGCGTGGTGTGACTCGATGCCAGCCAATGGCACAGGGCAGCCTCTGCAGAGCACTCCCCCCCGCCTGCTGGCCCATGGTGCCCCAGGGGTTAACGCGCGGGAAGGACCCGAGGAACGGCGGATTTGTGAAAAAATGAGAAACTGCTGCACAGAGAGGGCCTGCCTGGCCCGGGGGGAAGCTGCCTGCACACCTCGGCATCCCGCACCCCCTGGCCCCCCGCACCCGGCCCTCCTCGGCCACCAGTGTCCTGCACCCTGGCGTCCCACTCCTGACTGTCTCAGCTCAGGGCCACGATGGAGAAAAGGGCTCGGGGGTCGTGTTGTTGCAGCGGGGTTGGGGCGGGGGGGTTGTCCGTGCAGGTGATCCTCAGCGCAGAGAGCGCAGGTGAGCAGTAGCCTGGGAGGAGTTTTGGAGCAGCAGGGGAAGGGCAGCAGGGTTTGGGGGTCCTCCCAAGGGTCAGGGTACAGGGGAGACACCCTGAGCCCTGCACTTCCCGCTCCTCCGCTGGGTTCTCCTGGGGAGATTCCACTCCAGCCAGGCAGAAGGGCGTTATGCAACATCCCTCCCTGCGCCTCAAACACTGCATCTCTCCCTGCTCCTCGAACTGAACGCAGTGTCCCGGCCCAGCCCAGCCCAGCCCAGCCCCGCGGGAGCCTCACGGAGAGATGTGTGCCTGGGATTTTCCACGCAGTCCTTAGAGCCCAGCACCCCCATAGATCCAGATCAGCCCAGGCCTCTGGCAGGGCTGGGGTCAGCCCACTGCAGTTGCCCAGGGTCGCTTGCAGGCCTGGGGACCCTCTCAGAAGGGGAAGCTGTGCTGCACACTGGAGGCTCCCACTGGAGAGTGGCACAAGCCGTGGTGCCAGCCCTGAGCAAGCCACAACTCGGTGTCGTGCGGGTTGGTGCATGGCGGGAGCAAGAGCTGGCCAGAGCTCACACAGGCAGCCAGGGTGCTTGGGGTCTGCCTGCAGCAGCCCCCCAGGACGCCTGCACAAGCACTGCATGGGCACTGGAACCCCCCATCTGGGTACTGCTGGACAGGAAGAGACGCAGCATGAGGATGTGCCAGCAGCAAGCCAGGCTTGCAGGACTCTTCCCCCGGGAATCCCCGCAGCAGGATGGGTGGGCTGGGCAGAGGGGGTGCACCCTATTTGTGGCTGCAGAATTGTGGGTCCTTGTCTAGCCTGTTTCCTTCCCCACAGTCCACCCACCCTTCTGCTGTGCCTCAGTTTCCCCTCTGCAGTGTTCACGTCTCCTGGGAAGGGGGTTTCTTCCAGGTAGGGCCAGGCTGAAACCCTAGCACGCCTCCAAACAGTCCCAGCTGGGGACGGGGTTTCTGGCCCCCATGGCAGGCAGGCCTAGACACCGAGCTCATGCAGGCAGAGGGATGGGAGCTGTTCCCAGTGCGCATGTGTGCCGGGAGCTGCTGGCAAGGCTGCCCGCCGTGGGCACGCTGCAGCTGTGCCCTTTGCCAGCGCTGTCAGCCCACGGGCACTGGCACCTGTGGGGTACAGGCAGTGCCTTCCAAAACAGCACAGGGAGTCCTTGTTGTTGTCCCTGTGTGTGCCATGCTGCTGTTATATAACTGTGTGGAACCAGCCCAGGCCTGTGCCCTCTGCTCAGGGCTGGGACAGGACCCAGCAGCGCCAGCCGCCAGCCCCCTTAGGGCTTTTGGTCCCCTGACAGGTGAGGGGGCTGCTGTTCCGCCCTCCCAGGGGCACTGCCACCCCCTGTCACCCACCAGCCCCAGTGGGATGCAGACCTGCCGAACCAAACCCAGCCAGCCGTGGGGGGCAGGGGCTGCATGTGCCAGGGGCTCCGTGCTGGGGTGGGAGCCGGGGACAGGGCTGCTCCGATGGGTACATGGTGTTCCCTTGCGGTTTGTGTCCCCAGTACCCTGCCCTGACACCTGGGCACAGGCGTTTGTTGGTACCAGGAAGTGAAACAAACATCAGGCAGTCGCCTGGCAGCGAGACCGCAGCCGCCCCAGTGTGCACCGCACTCCCGCCGAGCCCCCACCGCCACCCCTGCCCCTGGCACAGCACCCATCCCTGCCCTGGGCACTGCTGGGCATGCCGAAGGGGAGCTGCCGGCTCGTTCTCTCCACCCTCAGGTGTCCTCCCTGCATCCTCCTGGGCTGCAGGATGAGTTTTCCCACCGGGAAAAATAAAAATTAATGCACTGAACACCTGCATGGTTTGAGGCCCATGGGCTGCAGCCATGTCCCTGTCCTGTGAGGGGACAAACTTGTCAGCAGGGCTTGTTGTGATAGGACAAGGGGGGATGGGTTTTAAAGAGGGTTAGGTTAGATTAGATATAGGGAAGGAGTTTTTTACAACGAAGCTGGGGAGGCCCTGGCACAGGTTGCCCAGAGAAGCTGTGGCTGCCTCATCCCTGGAAATGTTCAAGGCCAGGTTGGACAGGGCTTGGAGCAACCTGGTCTAGTGGAAGGTGTCCCTGCCCATGGCAGGAGGGTGGAATAGGTGACCTTTAGAGGTCTCTTCCAACCCAAGACATTCTGGGATTCCATGAGTCTATGACTCTTTGGTCTGGCTGGGTCCAGCTATCGCTGAAGGTCCCTGCCTGTGCCACAGGGGTGTCATGCTTCTGGAAGCCAGAAGCACTGGCT